CTTAGATCTCTCTGGCATCATTTTCTACTGCTCCTTCCTGAAGTGTTCATGATTTCTTTCCATATTGCTTGTGTGCAGTGTTACAGATGGGGATGCCTGCCACACTGCCCACTTCTGAACTCTAAAAGGGGTATTTTGTCCTGAAGGAATTTTGGTATAATGTTTATTACCAGACTAACTTAAGTTCATAGGAAAAGGGCTAGTTACATCAAATAGTAAAATAATGTATTATGAGAATCCTATTTAGAATAGAAATGCATATTTCTATTTTATAATAGATATTTAAATATTTCTATTTTAAATAGATATTTTAAATAGAAATGTATCTCAAGACTACAGGTTTGATCATATTTATATTATAAATGCAATAGCTTAGAATTTAAAACATATTCATTCCTAAGAATTCAAATTTATTGTGCTTATTATCAATTTTATTCCATAACATCACAATTCATAGTAGAAGGTAGAGCATTTAAATGATTTCTCCTCTCCAGTGTTCCTAAAACTTATTGAGTGCCTGAGCATTTACAGACCACAATGGTTACTTAAAAATAGACAATGTTATTTAATGTTATATAATATGTTGTAAGGCAGCACTCTACAATCTAAAAAACTGTTTTATTAAGTCAGTCTTATCTTTAACCTCATCCTTTCTGACTGTGGTCAGCATCTGATTCTCAAAATAATTCACATTTTAGTACCCCAACAAGGCTAAAAACCTGAATCTGTGATCTAGTATTTTTCTGATGTTCTCAAAACACCAGACACAGCCTCTGATTTTTTTTTTCCAGGGTGTATAACATACAGAGAAACTACTAAGTTTTACAAAGGAGTAGTAGTATATTAAGGGAAGTAACATTCAGCAATTTTTACTTCTACCCGCAACTATTAATCATTTGCACAATGTGAGGCCCTATAATCATGTCTGGATTAATGCCTAGGAACAAAAGACCTTCATTTAAGTTTATAATCCCCTCCGGCTCTAAAATGTGACCCTGTTAAACAATTGTTTAAGAATACGCAGTTACGTATATTTCTAGCTGTGTGACAAAAATACCTCCAAGAAAAAATTCTGGAAATCCGACCCTGTTAAAGGAAAATGAGTAAGCTGAGACACTGTGGACTTCCTCCTCCAGTCTGCAGCCTCCTTCATCTGTAGCCTCTATTGACCTTACTTCAGGCTTCCTTCAATCCACTCTACTCTGTGACTGCCGCCTCCCTCTTCAAAACTTAAAAGGATCTAGTAACCCATTCAAATTAGGTATACACTTTTGTTTATTCAAAGTGCTATTGAAAGGATTTATTGTATTGGCAGCCTGGTTAGGGAATGTGGTAGGTATGGAAAGGCTTTGAAAAGCAATGAGATTTAGTCACGTAGAGTGTGAGGATGAAATCCTAACTGAATGATATCCACTCCCTACGTCCTGGGAAGGAGGATCAGCCTGCAGAGCCTGCTCTGAGGGATGGAGGAAAAATCTGTCCTTACTCTGAGACTTGTCATGCCCTAGCATAGTCCAGGCCAGTGTGTAGCCCGTGCCCTCTCCAACTCTTCCTCCCCAACGTGGAGCACAGGGACTTTCAGGAGGTGCTTGTTTGCTTTCTAAATAATTGAAATTTATTCATCATATTTATTAGAGCTTTTCTTTTGTTAAATTAGAACTTCCCAGCCCGTCACAGTGGCTCATGCCTGTGCTTTGGGAGGCTGAGGCAGGAGAATCGTTTGAGGCCAGGCATTCTAAACCAGCCTGAGCAACATAGCGAGACCCTCATCTCTACAAAACATTAGTTAGATGTGATGGCACATGCCTGTTGTCCTAGCTACTTGAGAAGCTGAGGCAGGAGAATTGCTTGAGCCCAGGAGTTCAAGGCTGCAGTGAGCTACAGTTGCACCACTATACTCCAGCCTGGGAAACACAGCAAGACCCAGTCTCTTAAGAAAAAAAAAAAGGAACTCCTCTACTCTGTCTGATATAACATTTCAAATAAATAGATCACTAGGATTTATTTCCTTTACAAATTGGTTCATTACCAATAAAGTATTAGTAATAAATTATATAGTAATAACATTTATGTAAATATGTATATAACCATATATTAATATCAAGTGACATAGTAATATAAATGCAATACAGTATTAGTTAGGTCATTGCATGCCTTATATATACTTCTCAGAGATCAACATATTTGAATTTCCCAGAAATTTTTGTAAGAGCTGATCATCCATTTGAAATCAATGACCAAATATAGTCAGTACTTTCATAGTGGCATTCTTCTGCAAGTCAAAATATGTAATGATTCTTTAGTAATTTAAATAGAAATTTATAGACAGCACCTATTAATTATCAGGGCTTGTGCTCAGGGCTTGCTAATCACCAAACAACAAGCTGCCAAACCCAAAGGAGAATCAACCTAGAGTCATTTTACTGTGGTCACGACCCATCCTGTAGAAATTAAGCAAGCTCCTTTTCCATATTAACATTTGTAATTTATTCTGAAAATTAAGGGCCACTTTGAATCTTTATACTAAAAAAAAAAAAAAAAAAAAAAAAAAGCGTGTAAGCATAACCTTAGATATCTTTTGCAAATTTAACTAAACACATCTAAAAAGAGTACTGTTAAGATTTTTTTCCACTTTTTCCATTGTACAAGCTACAGTGTAGTTTTCTTAATGAATACTCCATATTCAAAAGGAACATATAACTTTTAATGGTCCCTTAAAGGGACTGTCATAAGTTTTGTGCCATTCCATACTAGACCCTTTGCCCCATGAATACAAGGATTGTCTACCTTGTTCATCTTTGAATCTCCAACTCCTAAAACTCAGTGCCTCATGCTTAGCAGTGCTTAATATAGTCACCGAATCAGTTACCCTTCCTGGAAACTTCCCTCACTGCCCTACTGAACTTAAGGTTCAGTTCAAGCCCTAGATCCCCTAAAAACCCCTCACTTATATAGATATACTGCTTAGTATTTTACGGGGACACAACCTCAGCAACTTACTTGCATGCTTTTCAGAAACTTTTCCCTTAACTGTATTTTCATTTCACTCCTATTACCTCTTAATTTGACTGTTCACTCCTATTTTTAACCTCCCATCTCCAAACACATTTTTAACACATTAGTGTGTACATGTAAGCATTCAATTAACTCATATAGACTACATGATTGATTGATCTTGTTTACCATTCATTCCATCAATAAACATTTGTCAAGTTCCTACTTAGTTCTTGGAACAGCCAGCACAGTATTGAATATACAAATATCCCTGTTCTCTTGGAGCATATTATCTGCTAGGAAGAGACAGTCAAGCAAAGGAATAAATGAATAAATGAGGAATACAAGAATGGTAGGTACTGAGGAGTGCTGTGAAACAAATAGGTATGTGAAAGGGAGTAACGAAATGTTAAAATTAAAAAATAAATAGTTGATGAGGGCCTCTTTGAGGAGTTAACAGTTGGTCTGAGACCTGAATGATAGGAACGTGTTATGGAAAGATCTGGAAGAAGAGCGTTTAGTGTGGTATTGGGCTGGAATGAGCTGGACACATTGAGAAATAAAGGGATGTGTGTGTGGTTTGGGGGTCATGATTGCAAGGACTTCTTTTCAGAATACCTGGGATGTGAGATGCTGCCTGGTGGAAATACTGCCCATTGAAGATGTCCTATGAGCAATGTGTGTTGGAATCCTGGTTTAGGGGTAGAGGAGAGAAAGGAACAGAACCAAATATAAAAATCAGTATGTGGTGCTTATATTTTAGAAGTGCTAGTACCCAAAGTGACAGTGTAACCGTAGAAGAGATGAACATTACAAGTCATAGGCATGTAAATCTTTTTAGAGTAAAGCAGAAGAATCTGCTAAAGAGACCAAGAAGGAATCTCCAGCAAATTAGGAAGAAAAGTGATAGAAAATGACCTTGAGAATGAAGGGCCGTTTGTGTTGAGTGCTGTTGAAAGGTCTAGTAAAGTGGTCATGGGAAACTCAGCAACAAGGGAGTTGCCACCATTCTTAATAAGAGCAGTCGTTGTGGGGTCGTGGATGTGGATAGCAGTCTGTTTGGAGTGCGCAGAACAGAGAAGGTGTTGGAAAAAGCTGAGACAGCAAAGGTTAACCATTTCAAGAAATTTTATTGGGAAAGGGAATAAAGAGGTTGAAACTGAAAGAAAATTGGAGGTTAAGGGAGGAATTTTTTGTTTGTTGTTTAAAAAGTGTTTTAACAGTACATTAGCAAGTTAATGGCAATAACCAAGTATAGTGGAATAGAGAGAAAAAGTGATGACACCTCAACAAGAGGGTTAAAATGCAGAAGCAAATGCCATGAAAAGTTAAAAGGGATTGGCTTCTAAGACACAAATGACACAGTTAGATTTTGATAGGCACAAAGTGACTATAAATATGAAGACTATTTCTCATTATGGAAATATTTCTGTGTTAAAATCTTGAAAAGCTAAAGCAGTCCAGGTGGAGTCACATGATTTTGATGATTTGGGGCCATGTTTCAATGGCAAAAATGCCACTTTTCTATGGCCCAAGCTAATATACTATGAGTATAACTACAATATACATTCGTAAAATAGCTCAGAATACACAAATTGAAACAGATGATGAGCTTATGTGTGTTTTCCATTTTCTCTTTGATTAAAATATGTACAGAAAGTATAATAATTTTAGGACAAATATATGGGAAATATTAAATACTTCTAAAATTGAATGTTGCTTATTTCGTCTTGGTTTTTAGGTTAAGTCATAATGAATGCTGAACGGAACAGGCAAAGACAGAATCAGATCCCAGTGGTTATTCTAGTTTTATCAGAGCCTTTGTGTTCCCTTCTAAAGAATTAAAGTGCCTGCTACATACTGCAGGATTCATTTCCTTAAGATCTTTGTTTCTTAGTGATTCAGATGTAAAAAATTTAAAATTAAAATGAATTCGTGTATTTTATAAGATTTCTCTTTAAAGATGTGTCAGTTGGCTTAAATATTTATATTTTCTTTTGTCACAGGCTTATTTATATTCATCTTCCACTGTGCTATGAAGGAGAATGTTCAGAAACAGTGGCGGCGGCATCTCTGCTGTGGTAGATTTCGGTTAGCAGATAACTCAGGTAAAGGGTTGTTTAAATTTTACATCTAAAAGTAGATGGGAAAGTTTGTCATTCTGTCTTTCATTGTCAGAGCAACCCAGTCCCAAAGGGAGCAATCTATTGAAGTGGCGCATGTGAAGATGCCTAGTTGGAGTTGTAGAACATGAGGACTGGAAGAGATCTGAGGACTTTAGGCCCAACCCTTCTATTCTGCAGAGGGGAAGCATGAATTCCATACAAGTTATATGAGTAGCCCAAGGTTTGATGTCTAATTTAACAACCAGATACCCAGAGTTTCCATTACACCAGACTCATCTTTCCATATTTTGTAGATCCCCAATTACATTATTAGACAAAGAGATTTTTCTCAGTATCAAAAAAAAAAAAAAAAAAAAAAACCTGAAAAAAACCACACTTTGTCTTTCTTTTTCTCCTTTGTCTTTCTTTTTCTTTTTACCATCAGTGGTTACTTCTCACTCTTAGGATATTGAAAGTGAGATTTTAAACAGTGCATATACAAAGTCAAAGTAAGAAATTTTCAGTTTCTTCTTGTTTACATGCCAGTCTCTTCTCTTAGCCATTGCCAGCATATCAGAAAATCAGATGCTCCAGATAAAAAATGCAGTGATGATTTTTCAGAACAGAACATATTTCCTGTAAAGCAGATTGATAGAGTGATGTCACTTTTTTACAGATTGGAGTAAGACAGCTACCAATATCATCAAGAAAAGTTCTGATAATCTAGGAAAATCTTTGTCTTCAAGCTCCATTGGTTCCAACTCAACCTATCTTACGTCCAAATCTAAATCCAGCTCTACCACCTATTTCAAAAGGAATAGCCACACAGGTGAGTCTAAAGATGTCCTTGAGTTTAGTGCTTGTCACATTTTCATTGCAAAAATTGGCATATCATGAAGATTGATGGATCACAGTGCCTGAGAGGGTACATCTTTTAGATTTATGAAAATAAAAATCTGTTCAAAGACATTATCCAACACTTTTATGAATATTTCATCCTTTTAAAAATTTTGTAACTCAAACTCTAGGTATATAATCATAATATTATTCACTCTGTATATTATTGTAACTTCATCATTTGATTCAAAACTTAGTTTTCTTTAAATAATGGTATTTTGTTTAAAAAGTTATATCTTTATTTTTAAAATTAAAAAATTGAATTACAGATTATTTTAGCAGACTGTGATAGTTACTGGACAAGTTGTCATGGGAACAGGAAGAAATAATACATAGGACATATATTTTATTTAAGACCTAATTCCTTAACCATTGCAAATGTTATTAACAACTGCTCTTTAAATCACTGATTACATATGAATGAACATAATATTTGGAAAGTGATACAAGGCTGTAAGAAACATTGTCTTTCTTAATACCCTGTTCTTTCATGATATTTGCAATTACTGCACATTCTGACACTGAACATTTATGTAAAAAGTCCTGATGACGCCATGGAAATAAAGAATATTTTAAGCCAGGTACTATGGCACATGCCTGGAGTCCCAACTGCTCTGGCAGCTAAGATGGGAAGATTGCTTGCACCTTGGAATTCAGGCTGCAGTGAGTTATGATTATGCCACTGCACCACAGCCTGGGCAACATAGCAAGATCCCATCTAAAAAAAATAGTAATATTTTGCAGCACTTGATAATGAATGATGTGAAAATGTGTAACCTTTTAATACTTTCAAAGGGAAATAATAGAATTACTACTTTTAAATACTAATTAAATCCCTGGCAGACAGCTGTCAACATTTAAAACAGAGCACTTTCCTCATTAAAGATAATTCTAAAAGGATAATGGAAATAACTTTTAAATTTTTAATTTGTTTAGCTATTAAATGTGAGCAAAGGTGAGTGGCACAGAGAAGAGTAATACTTGGCTTTTTGTAAACAGGGAGTAAGGTGTGTGATGTGTTTGTAATTGTTCATATTGCAAATAGTTGAATTACAGATGACCCTCCTGTACATTCGAATCCCATGTCCCCGTTTGTACCATCTTCTATGTCTTGCCAGTGGAGTGACCATTGCCTGGGATTCATGATAGTACTATGGAAAAAGCCTTGAGTGGTTAGAGAGTTTGTTAATTCCAAAATTAATTAAAAATCCAAGAACTTGAAGCAACTTAGGACTGCAGTTCTTAAAGCATCTTAGAGTCTAGGACATTTTGGGGGGAATTGAATTAAGGCTGTTGATTCTCTTCCAGAAAAAGGTACAGATTTTGAATCATCTTCACAATTTTGCATAAAATCAAGAAGTCTGTGCCATTCTGCCTAAGAATACCTGTGTAATGAAATTGATGACAGGTGTATAGTCTAAGATAGATTCTATTTATTTGGTCGTTCCATGGTACAAAGCATCTTTTGCTTATAATGAATTATTTTTTTTCACCTTATTGAACCAAACTTAAAATTTGATACTCATTTTGCCTCCCCTTCTAAAATACAAATCATTAATGCAGTATCAGTCAGTCATAAATAAATAGGAGTTAGACCAATTGAATGCTTTCTTCTTAAACTGAAAATAGCTGGCCTGAAGAAATGCCACTCTTAAAAGAGGAAAGACGCTAACAAGGCAGATAATTTGGAACATGAGACATTTTGGAAATATTAAGGAAAGAAAGGGCTATAGGATTTGGGGGAAAACTGACTGGAAGATAGATAAAAGAGGATATGCAGAAATGGAGGTCCAAAGGCAGACTTTACTATTTTAAAATATTGTGAGTTCTTCATTTTGTTTTGTTTTATTTTATTTTAATTTTGAGACAGAGTCTCACTCTGTTTCCCAGGCTGGAGTGCAGTGGCACACTCAGAGGCTCACTGCAGCCTCTACCTCCTGGGTTCAAGCAGTCCTCCCACCTTAGCCTCCCAAGTAGCTGGGACTACAGGTGTGCACCACCATACTTGTCTAATTTTTGTATTTTTGTAGAAATGGGGTTTCATGATCTTGTCCAGGCTAGCCTCAAACTCCTGGGCTCAAGCAATTTGCCTGCCTCAAGCCTCCCAAAGTGCTGGGATTACAGGTGTGAGCCTGTAATCAGCCTTTTGTTTTGTTTTTTTAAAGAATGCGTTAATGTTCTTGTTTCCCTTAACAAAAACAACTTGGGCTAAATGGGTTCTTGTCAACTAGGATGAGAATATAGTTAGTTATATGGTATTACTTCAATGGTGTAATAAATTCTGGTTTACAGTCAACTGACTTCCACATAGGCTTTGGCTACCCAGCCAGTTCTCAGTGGGACAGTTAGCATCCTGGGGATCACTCAGCGTATGCAAAAAGTCACTGCATATCATCATGGATATCTAGTTGGTTCATTTCTTGGAATTGATCTAGATATTCATATGTTTATGGTATAGATAATGTCTCCTAAGAGCATTCCTTCAACAAAAGTGGATCATTCAGGTAAACTTTAATTACTTTTTTGAATGCATGAATTTTTTGCAAGGTAGTAAGAGAATATGTGCATGGATTAAGCTAAGATTCTTGCTGCATCATCAAAATGGCTTGTTCTTTTCAGCTAGCACAATGACATTCCTGCATTGAGCTGGAATTTCTGAAATTTCGAATGATAGTGTGTGTTGTGCTGGCTCTTCTCTGCATGGGTTGTCTGCTAGCTGCTCCTTCTAGGAAATGTACCATGGTCTGGAGTCAGTGGATCACACATCATGTAAAATACTAATAAAACTCAGTACTTGAGAAAAGATTTGTTGTAGAACATGAGATGCTTTATTTTTCCACTGCTCTTATGGACTGCTGGATATGTCATGGTACATTCATAGAAGTCATATAAGTGAAATTGTCAATTCCAAGCCTGCTTTGTGAAGATTGTTTTCTGCTTGAAATTTCAGCATAGGTCAAATAATAGTTCATATCCCTAGCCCCTGGTTTTCAGACTTGTAACTATAATCAAAGTCTTTATTAACCATAATGTAATATCTAACCAGACGACTGGGAATAGCACATATAAAAATATAGCCCTCATTCAGAATTTTACTTTATTAAACTGTGAAGACCCATTAAATTGGATCACATCATTGAAAAGAAGCTGTTCATAATCTCTAAAAGTACATGCCACTGGAAGTTACAAAGGAAGCAGAGTGAATATATCCTTGACATCTCTCTGAGGATATGCAGTTTTCTAAAAACACCAAGCACAAATTTTTCAGTATCGATATATAAGTCAATAGAAAAATCCCCACCAGAAAACCAATGGCTAGTGAATATATGAACTGAAAGGAAGCTCAGAATCAATCAGCTTGCTGAGAGCCTAATGGGGAGGGGCCTTTCGTCATGACTCCTTGAGCCTTTTCCTCGCCAACATTGGAAAATGCTTCAGTTGTTCCACCATGCTTCAGTTTGCCCGTTCTCTCCATGAACCATCTATTCGTCTCTCTTTCATCCTTTAGTATGGGTTGAGCATCACATTTCCCTTTTCGCCCTTATTTCATTTAGTGTCTGCTTCAACACAAAATAACAGTCAAGCAATTTGAATAGTTTCCAAAGACAACAGATATCATGATGGTGATGGCTTTTACCAATTATTGGTGGATTTTAAATGTTTTGTCACATACTGAGTCCAACATATTCAAACTGTAAAATGCCTTGAAGTGAAGATTTCAATTTTGGAGCCATGATTTCTCAAAGTTTTTCAGGATAGAGTTTTTGCCTTTTCCACAATGTATAGAGAAGATACAGAGGAAACTGAATACTTTATCAAAGTTCATATGTTCTTTATCAGTGTATTTGGAGAAGGAGGTACTTCTTTCTAAAGTATATTTGGAGAAGGAGGTACTTAAAAGATATTTGTAGGATACATGAAGACAACCGTATATGTTTACAGATAATAGAGCTTAAGTGAGTTTCAGAGCATTATCTTAGCCAAATTTACAAAGTTTTTGTGTATAGGGAAATAACATTTAAATATATGATACTGAAAATTTTATTTAAAAATTATTTAGCAGTCCTTAATCAGTTGTTCTAATATTAGTGTCGTTAGCAATAGCATCACTCTAAAACTATAAGAAAATACAAATAAATCATTTTTTATTAAAATCTTTCTGGTAATAACTTTGAATGCTATAATTAAAAGAATAATTCATAAAAAGTGCCCTTTTTGCCATATTCCAATTGTTTATCCCAAAAACCATGGGAAAACATGTTCAAAGTAGCCTTTCATATTTATTTTTATTTGCTTTTATTCTCCAAAATCCTTTAATTTTATAAAATTTTTATTGTGAAAAGTGTCAAACATATATAAAAAGTAGAAAGGATACTATTAGGAATCCCCTTGTTCCCATCAACTTACAGCCAGTTATACACCCCACCCATTTTCCCTTCCTATATTATTTGAAATCATATCTTAGATATCATATCATTTCTTCCACAAGTATTTCAGCACATTTAAATTCCTTTATTATGTAGTCTTGTATATAGTGCATATATTTTTGAAGTGGTTGTCCAATTATTTTTTCATTGGCTCTGCCATATTCAAGAATATTTCTTATAGTAAGCCACAGTACAAATTACTAGAAGGCAAGTTGACATTTAGTGATTATCAGGAGCGTACTTAGAAGAAAAAAAACGTGGAAATTTAATGTTGCCTATTACCTAATCTAAGATAGAGTCAGAGCTTTATTTTCTTTTGTTCTCCTTTAATGTGCAAAACAGAGTGTACAGTATAGTGGCCTGTAGGCATCTCAACAGCTCATCTTGAACCTAATTTCTTGTATCATTTCTTGCAGACAATACTTCCATGGACAAGTCCTTGTCAAAACTGGCCCATGCTGATAGAGAACAAACATCAATCATCCCTGTTCATCAGGTCATTGATAAGGTCAAGGGTTATTGTAATGCTCATTCAGATAACTTCTATAAAAATATTATCATGTCAGACACCTTCAGCCACAGCACTAAGTTTTAATGTCTTTAATGTAAGAAAAAGAAATCAGTCTGCAGAAATGTGAAGATTTGCAATCAGTGAAAGCTGCAACTATCGATGTAAATGTGCTATTACCTAGATAACTGCATATATATGAGGAATGTATTTTGTTAAGAAGGCTTTTATGAAATTCATAATTTTTCTTTTTAATGTATTTATTCCATGGAAGAGTTGTCATCAACACTAAAACTTCAGTACTGAGAGTGAGAGCAATGTGACTCAGTAGCCCAGAAGCTATGATTTTCTAAATATGTAATTGAATCAGAATAATCATAATGCAAGGGAGACATTAAAATAGAGGCAAGGGAGAAGCCACACTGAGGACAGACCCTAGATAGAACTCATTTTACTCCACCTAATATTTACATTAGGATGTACCCATTTTCTGCATCTTCTTTCTCAACAATAAAAAATGTAACTACTTTGGATGCCCACAAATTCCATTCCAGTGTTTCTTTCTGTAAATGCAGTACCATGTTCTCATTTGCAGTGACATTTCAACCACAGGCAGAAAAGACTGTTTACTGCTTGACCCAAAGATTAAAAGGATTCTTTTTTATTTTAAATATTATACCTTCAGAACCATAACATGCTTAAGAAAGTTTTTCCAAAATATTGACCTAGATGAGGCTATATACATTTCTAATATTTTACTCATTATATTCAAGGCACAAGGCCAAAGCTTTAAGTATAATTTAATCCCATACATTCAAGTTAAGTTTAGTATCGATGCTCCATCAATGTGGACCTCCCAGGAGTTGTTTAAGAATGAATCCATTACACCTCTAATTTTGGCTCCCTACTGTATATTAAGCCCATAGGCTTGTGGGAGGAAGGAGAATTTCCATTAGCCCTGCTGTATGCAGTGGAATTTTCCTTTTAGGAGACACACAGTTGAGACTCTCTGGCTCTATCCTTGCTTTAGAGACTTTAAGATATTTCCTATTGCACAAATGAAAACCTCTTTCCCCTATTGAGAGTTTTGTTCCAAGGAATATGAAGTGAGACACATGGTGACTTATAATAATACAAATAATTTATAAACAGCTGGGTCTGCAATAGCTAGTCTAAATATTGCTTGTGTGTCAGTCCTCTGATTATAGTATGTAAGAGCCTGAGGAGGTCTGGCAAGATAGATGGTGTATTATTTATGGATCAGACTGATGCATAGAAGCCATGCATACTATTTTTCAGCTTGCCTAACTCTCAGACTATTCTGAGTAATGCCTGCTTGCTAATGAATGTGTAGGAGACCACATTGTAATTGTTCTTAGGTGATAGAGTCCTATGCGGTTTCTTAGAAATCAGTCTCAGTGCATGCTGTGCTTTTTCACATTTGTTCTGAGTTATCTGGAAAGTATCAGGTTCTGGGAGGCAACAGCAGAAGTGATAAGAAAAGGAGACATTCTGGTGTGTACCTATGCAACAATCTTGCATGTTCTTCACATGTACCCCAAAACCTAAAATGCAATTAAAAAAAAAAAAGAAAAGGAGACATTCTGTCAAAGCCAGTCTGCTTAAAGGCAAAGTCTAGAACCTGGAACCTAGAGGCCTTTTTCTCTGCACACAAAAAAACATTTTGCAGTATGAGACATGGGAGAGCTTTTAGGCTACACAGCAACCCAAGGGACTGCTCGCCTTTTGCCGAGCTTCAATCATGAAGCTATTTGCCTGGCTCCAGCAGATGATGAGATAATGAGGCAGTGGGATTTTTGTTACTGTTCCATTTTGCAACATCCTGCAACACCATCCTGGGAGACATGAGCATTACCCAGCTTGGCTTTCACAGGGGAAGGTTGTATTCAGTAGAAAAGAATAGTAAATTTAAGGTCACTGAGATTCACTACAGTAGAGCCAAATCCTTTTCAATAGGCATATATTAACAGACTGCTTATTTTGGCAGTGGTTATATATGGATGAAAACTAATCTAAGTCATTGAACATTCATATACATTTCCCCCCAAACCTTAGACATTCGTGGTAGATTTCAACTAATTAGATTAGTCAGATTTCTGCCCAAAGTGCTTATTTGGTCAATAGCAATTAAGACATACTTTCAAAAATGGCTTTGCTTTTGATTTCCACTGATATTCATATGGCTCCAGAAAAATATATTTTTTTTCATATTTGACAGTGTCAGCTCCACTTTAGAAATTTCCAATAACCAGATGAGAAAAAATTAAGAAATTGCTCAAGGGAAACATGGATTTGAAAGATTGAGCCAAATTCTATCATCAGTTCTAAGCATTCAGTTCTCATCTCCATTTAGGCCCCATCAGAACAGAGGGTCAGGAATTTAGCTGGGGAGGCTGAATTTAGTTCAACCTACCTTTGAGGATAGCATCAATTCAGACTCTCTTTCCCTTATGTTTTCTTTTCTTTTTCTCTCTTTTTAAACTATGTTGTGTTAGAGTCGTAGTCTAGGATCCTGAGATATTTTCCATTCTTGTTACCATTCACTTGCTTTGTAAAGATTTTGTCTATTGTTGGCATAGATTCTTTTGTACATATTTATTTATTTGTGTTTATACATGTCAATTGGTTTCATATCTTCGCTTGATATTGCCTAGCTTTGTTGTTTTAATTAACTTTCTATTAGAGAGACTGTATATATTTTTTCTAAATACTTTGTGAAATCACTTTTTGGTAGCAATGTCTTTGAATATGATGAATAAAAGTGACTGTGAGTGCAAATAGAGTTAGCAGTAAGAAGCTACTCTAGCTAATTTGCCATTTTACTTAAATGGAAAATGTTTTTCAAATAAATACTTATATTGTTCATGTTCCAAGTTATTCAATTTCTTTATGAGTGAATGTTTTTCCTTCTGACTCCTTAATAGGAAAAGATTATTTGACAGCTGGAAAATAACCTGCCACCAATTAAGCTAGTGATATAGGGCTACTTTGCCAAAACACTTGGAATGAGTATGTTATAGAGATCCAGTTCACTAGGGATTAATACATTTTGACGTTCTTAGAATTTCTTAGGATGACCGATGCAAAGCCACGCTCTATAGCAGATTAAAAGTAATGCAGATTTCTTTTGGGGAATGTCTTCAGCATCCTCAAAAGGGAACTCAGTCGGTAACCTGTAGAAGATAGGACCTGGGATATTTTTCTCACATATGTAGTTGCTATTTTGATGGTGAGAGGCTTAGCAAATGACACATTTTAGCCAGCTTCACTTACTTGATGAGAACAGAACCTCCCCACTTCCTTTTACTGTGGTTATTTAGGATAACTTTTTTTTGCAGTGAGCCAAAGGCCAATTTTGCTTACTGCCCTACTCAGCAAAGTGTATGCCCAGTGCAAAGTTGTGAAGTGTTTTGATGGTCACTGCTAAACCAGGTCTTCCAAGCCAATGTTCACAACTTCTGGCCAAGCCATGTTAAGAAAATAGACAAACAGTTGCTTAAGGCTCATCTACAGTCATTTATGTGCAGGTTACTTCAGAAAGCTGAAGGGATAGAATTGGGAAACAAACGGAAAACATTTATTTGCTTTGCAGGCAGACCTGTGTTGGTAATGTTTTTGAAATCTGGAGGAACTGGGCTTTATAAATGCAGTGTTTTGGAAGCACTTCTCTATTTCCAGTTGAATAACATTCCATTTCTCTCATATAAAAACATTAAATATCTCTCTCCCTCCTCCCCACCAACCTCCTTTTCTCACTTGTCCCCTCTTTTCCTTTCTCTCTCCCTTTTTCTGTCTCTCCTTCCATCTTCATTTCAGGGAAGAATAATTAGTGTTAACAGTTCGTTTTTTTGCTTCCCCAGAGAAAAATAAGAATAAACGTGAAATTTTTAAGTGTTTTCATTTATATTCTATGTAGCCTGTTCCGCAAAAAAAGTAAAGAAAAAAGGATGCTTGGTTACCATAGGCAACTCCAACCTAAATTGAGTAATATGAACCCATGACCAGGCATGGTGGCTAATGCCTGTAATCCCAGCACTTTGGGAGGCCCAGGCAGGTGGAAGTCAGGAGTTCAAGACCAGCCTGGCCAAAATGGTGCAACCCTGTCTGTACTAAAAACACAAACATTAGGCAGGCATGTTGGTGCATGACTGTAGACCCAGCTACTCGGGAGACTGAGGCAGTCAAATTGTTTGAGCCTGGGAGGTGGAGGTTACAGTGAGCAATTGTACCACTGCACTCCAGCCTGGGTGACAGAGTAAGACTCCATCTCAAAACAGAACAAAAAACAAAAATTTATAAGTATGTTTGGATTCCAGATGTTTATTTCCTATCTCATGTAATTTTCACCACAGTTCTATGACACGTTGTTACTTCACTCTTCCATTTGGGGAAACAGGTGATTAAAAACAGTAAGTAACCTGCCTGGGACCAGTGACCACAGAGACAGTAAGAGCGGGACTTGAATCTAAATTCATCTGACTCTGTTCATTCTTCTATGTCAACTTTCTTAGCTGCCTCCTTCAAAGAACCTACAACCTGGTGAAGGAAGGGAATCCAAGGCCAGGATAAATGCCCTGATATTCATTTATCAGAAGCTTCTGGAGCTTCAGACAAAAGCTCTGGAGTAGCAAACCAGTAGCGATGATTTGGTCTTTCAAGTTCTGGTAGATTCTGATTGGCCTCTCCTGAGGGTAAGGAAAAATTCTAGACAAGGAGATTGGAATGTCCAAAGAACTGGGTAGAAACGAGTTGCAGCTGACTTGATTGCAGGGTGTGGAAAGGTGTTGCAGAGGGATGACAGCCATTGTGTGAAGAGCCCAAGTGGCTGGCTAGAGAGGGATTAGTTTAGCAGCAGACACAAGAGAGGCCTAAAAGGCTTCTGGGCAATGAAGGAACCCAATCCTAGTTGGGCTTGAGGACCACGACTGTGGTGGGAGCATCGGAATGAAGAGGGGCTGAACTTGGAGAGAACAGTGAGGAGCATTTTGAAAAAGTCAACAGAGGAACAAGGCAATTTGAGGAATGGTGTCGGAGGGGGGGCGGTCACAGGTCTCAGAAGTGGCAATGTGGTCAGAAGGCTTTCA